GGGGGGGGGGGGGTACGGGGATTTTTCGAAAAAAATTTTTTGCTCGTAATTATTCACAAAATACGTTACTCGACTCAGTTTTTAACGCTGATTCTGAATCTGATATTAGTTTTGAACTGAATCATAGTTTTGTGTACCCAAAAAGTGAGTACACTGTAGAATAGTTCGTGTATCCGTCCGTCCGGTTGACTGTTTACATGATAACTTTTGACAGCAGAGTCTGATTATGATGAAACTTTCTAAACGGCTTAGTCTTGACAATATCTCAATCGAGTTCAAAGATGAGAAGGATCGGCCGAGCCATTCCTGAGTTATTGCAAAAGTAGTCATTTTTCCCTATAGCTTTCTGTGGAAGAGTGGATCCATCGCGACTTTCGTAAAAGACTTTTCCTATCATAGTCAATCAAAAGCCCAACTATTATATATCATTCGATAGAGACTTTCAAGAGCTACAAATTGATATATAAAACATAAAGAAACAAGAGGGATGACTTGCATATGACAAGGATAATTAAAGAAAACTAAATTAGATTTTGATCGATGATCTAATGGATTCACAAAGAGATCTCAATCTTCCGATCATAGTGATGATACTCTGAAGTTTTCAGAAATGGAGAATTGGAATGTGTACCTGCACTTCCATCTCGATACTGTTAGTTGTTCAGTGATCAATAGAAATGAAGTTATAGGAAAAACGACTTTCTGAGGGTAAGTTAGACAGAAGAGTTGAAATCTGAGCTGTATTTGGTCTCAAATCCTATTGGTGTAGCAACTCGCGCAATAGAAATGAACATTTTAAATGGTAGATTTCACAGTGTAATTTTGATATATTCGACAGTCGTCGGATGATTGATTTGTATGATTCACTTTTTCGAGTACACATAACTCTCGGATTTAAATCCGAAGTTTCCGCATTTATTCTTTTATCCTAATAATCAGCCTATTCCTTTATTAAAACTTGTATATATATATATATGATATTGAAAACTTTAGGTAATCCAAATCAATATTGTGGTGATACAAATACAATTATTGTGTTACTTAGAAAGAACGTTCTATATTTGGCACATTTCTACACGCCTTCTCGATACTATAGACAATATCCTGATTTTGTTTACGTTGGTTGTGTTCAGTTCAATAATATCAAACAATTAGGAATGTATCAATTCAATATAGTTAATAGACAAGATGTTCATCCACGTCATTGTTTACAACTATGTAAAAAATATGAACAACAATATGCACTTCTTAAATCAAATACATGTTTATGTACGAATATTCCAATAGAAAAAGTAAAAAATCAGCTGAATTTGTTCAATTGTGATCGAAAATGTTATGGTAATTATTTTTATAAATGTGGACATACAATTGATTCATCAATGTATTCAGTATATCTTATACGACCAGCGTGTCCATTTAGTAAGAAAAAGTATCAATTAGTTTTCAGTTAAATAGAAACAAGAGAATATTTAATTATATTTAGATTTTCTTATGACTGATAATCCACAACAATGTGTTCGTGTTCCAGATATATTGAAAGATTCTTTTTCAAGTGCACAATCTTATTGTAAATCAATGGACAGTGTACTAGCGAAAATAAATGATATTTTAGAAATTCAAGATCTATTACCTGATACAATACTTCGTCATAGTAATATCTATAAATATTCGCTTGATCCTTCAATAATCCATGATGGAATGTATTTTTGGATTGATCGTACGACGAATATCATTAATAATAATAATAGATTATCAGAAAATTTTTTCAAACATTGCATGAAAAAATCTAAATCAATTAATCGAAATTGTATTGTTTTCCGTCGTGAAAAGATTCTCGTTGATAACGTAATAAAATTTCAACGATGTTTTTCTGAATCAGATCAATGTTCGTCGAGATCTGCAAAGCCTGTTTGTGTTAACAAAAATTTAGAATCTCATTCAAATGTAATACCTTCAATGAGAAATAATGATTCATCGATCATAAAAATTAATATATCCACAGACTATTTATGTGGTAATGATACAGATTATCATTTAATCGGTGATTATTGTTATAAAGTATTATTACATGAAACAACTTGGCATAAAGCAAAAACTGAATGTGAACGTGATAATGCTACATTATTCTTTCCGAGCATTAACTCAAGGTTTGATTTGATAAAACAAATAATTTTACATCGTCATAGTTATACATTATCTACTGGTATTGTACATGTTGATTATTTTTATTTTAATGAAACTTCTCATACTAAACAGCATAAACCAATTTATGAAAGCATTGAATCACAAAATTTCAATCATAGAGACTATTCTGATTTATGTGAAGACTCATTTCATGCTCATCCTCCTTTATCAGATGTTTCACTCAATGAAATAGTGAAATATATTGATGAGCTCGAATTAACTATACCAAGATGTGGATATCTTGATTTTACGGGGAAAATTCAAGAAAGAAGAGGATGCAGTAAAGAATCTTGCAATCAATCAGCAATTGTAATATGTCAAAAATTACCAATGATGACAACTCATAATATTCTAGCTAAACGGTTAGTTGTTGTTATTAATTACATTTGTCTTTGAAGAATAGAAATTTTTCTTTGACTTGACGAAGATTTTCATTAAAAAAAAAGGCAAAGAATCATTGTGAAATTTGATAGAGAATTACACTAAAGTATAATGTCGTACGATAGACATAATTGTGAACATAGTTATTAATCAAAGTTATTATACTTGAATACGACTAATTAGTTTGATAAAGTAGAGATAAATAAATCATTATTTTCTATCTTGAAATAATATTATGTAAACTATAATTATTATCTGATTAGAATCGGCTATTTGTTTCAAAGATACATGATAGATTTCTTTCTATTTTACGAACAAATTTATTCGAAATTCAATAGCTAGATGAATAATTCTTTTTTTTTGTTATCTTTTTGCTTTAATTCTAGTTTAAATGAATAAATTTATCGAGTTTCTACATATGAAATATAACGAATGGAACATAATAAATGATCACTGTTCACTTGACATATTTTTAATAATTAATATGTTTTGTTAAAACAATAAAAAAAATACAGCAGGACAAACTCTATACTTTAAGTTGGACTGTTTATTTCATTATTACACGGTTTTTTTTTTATCATGATAATTGACAAACTTCAAGTGAACTAATTTTATTATACAAAAATTAGTCGTATAATACTTTGCTTCTTTGAAAAACAAAGAATAGAACTTATAAAATAAGCCATCTTCTGTTAAATTCAGATATCTTTACATCACATCTAGTGTTGTATTCTTTTTTTTTGTTCTTAAAAATATTAGAAAATAAAAACAAAAAAGAGTTTCTTTTTTGGAACGTTGAGAATCGATTGTATACATAGATTTTTACTTATTTTCAAAGATAAGATGCATATATGAAATGAGTTGTACAACTTTCCAGGGTGTGTCTGATGGTGTTTTGTTTTTTTTTTAACATATCAAATGGAAAATTGAGAACAATAACCACAAGTGAGAAACGAATAATTCGTTGCTAATTATTTGCATCTAGTCGTATGATTTGCTTTATTTTAAATAAAAACTATCAGATGACAGAAAAGGAAAAATCTGAATTAATCTTCAATAAGAAAATTTTTTTCGCGAGATGGAAATTAGATCGCTCAAAGTTTTGTTTGTTTTCATAGCAAAAAACAAAAGTAAAACAAAGAAATAAGTAGTTTATCTTCTAGTCTAGTAATTCTTCATGTTGTTTGGCTTTTTTTATTTTTGTTCTTTTTAAATAAAACATGTAATGTGAAAAAACGGCCATTTATTCTGCATTACCTGTTACGTTTCTTCATTTTATCTATGTAAACTGAAAATAACTTTTACATTGATTACAAGAATTTAGTTTTTCTTTAACTAATTCATTATTGTTCACCATGAATTTAAATATAGATTAATAATTTTATTATTTCATTTTGTTTAAAACAATAGAATACACTTACTAGTAAAAAAAAATTTTTATTTTTTGATTTGTTCTTTTTTTTTTGAACTACAATGCTGAATAGATGTAATTATTAATGAAAAATATGTTTTTTATATTTATTTTCTAGTGATGATATACAAATTATCAATAATATCAATTGAATATGAATCAATTTTTCAAAACTTTATATTTGAATATTATCTGTTAATTTTACTCATTGATTATGTATCTTGAATTCGTATGTATATCTCATAATCATTATCAAATTCAAAATAAAAAATTCATAAGAAATCTGTTTTTTATTTTCATTACTAATAGGATATTCATAACATTGAAAATAGAATATAAAAATTTTTACTTCTCGTATTTCTATCTTCTAATTTGGTTCTTTATTTTAAGTAGAGATACTTCTTCTATTTTGTGTTGATACTCTTCTCAATAAATTCGAATATGAGAAATCCTTGATGAAATAGTAACAATAATAATTTATTAGAAAATATACAATACAGAATTTGCTTAATATAGTTTCATTCTAGATTAAAATTTAGTATGTGTGTTTTTATTTTTGTACTGTCTTATTCTACGACCATTCATTCAGATTATACACTTTTACTGTTTTAATTCTCACTATACTCACAGTTCATTGGATAGTTGCATAAGTATATTTCGTTTACTCAGGTGCATAACTAGGAAGGAGAGGGGGGGCGTGGGGCGTAACGACCCCCTGTGAGGTTCTCGTTTCGGGAATGTAACTAATGGCTTCAACCTCCGTTATTGACGTAGGCTGAAATATGTAATCTAGGATCTAAGCCTGCTTATCTTGAGAAAACTCACAATAAAATGCTTACCGTATATTGTTGTTCAGGTGATTGAATATAAGATGTAGTGAAATCCTTTATGTAGGTGTTTCAAATACTTTATTTTATAGATGAAGATGATAGAAAATCACAGACGACACGACTAGAGGTATAACTACGATCAGAGGAAAAACAAGACTGAAGGTAGTTAACACAATAACTACAATCACGGCAAAAAAAAAAGAGAAAAAGTAGAGAATGAAAAATAGAAAGAATATAATAAAGTGAAAACAAAGAAGAAAAGAGATGATCACCATAAAAACATGATGATCAATAGAACAGTAGATATATATGTATATATTGTAGGAACGAAAGAAGAACAAATGCATATATATAAAGTTAGCGTCATGTCATAACATCAATGGACGCTAACACCCCCTGCTTTCGAAAATTAATAGGAAAAAAGGGGTTTATGCCCCCTACTTTTCAAAATTTCGGTTTTGTTTTGGTGATGAAAATAGGGTTATGCCCCTCCCTCCGGCTTGGTAGCGACCGGTAGTTTTCATGAAACACGGAAGATCTCCAAAGCTGCCCTCCTCCTCCTCCGTTGATTATCGTCGATAAAAGATACCTCGTCGCTTTGACCTCTTTGCGCCATCACTGATCGAAATCGAAAAAATAGGATTACGCCTCTGCGTTTACTCTTTAATATTCTTATTGAATATTTGTAATATCGAAATCATGCAAGTCATTTTCGATGAATGATTTATATCAAAATGTAGCTCATAACTATCAATATTATTTGATACTGTTATATTTCATTAGTTAATAAGAAAGATGATTGTCGACTATAAAATATCGGAGTTTCGTAGGTCATTGTGATCTTAAGAGAAATTAATAGTTTCATCTCTCATTAATAACTTTTGTTTTCTACTGTTAAAGTTATTTTTTTTTTAATTCATCATAGTTCTTGTTGTTATTATTTAATTCAATATTTTGTGTATCATAGAATGAAAATTATTGACAATCAATCAATAATTTAAGTAATCAGGTAGAAAATTTTTCCTTTAAGTTTGAATATATTTATGCATGGAAATTATTCGTGCATGATAATTTGTCAATCTTACTTTAATTTCAGCATTGACAATTGTATTTTTTTTTTATAAAATTTTAGTGATTTAGAATAGATAATCAGTTGTTCTTTTGAATTAACATATCTATCGAGAAATATGTTTTTTTTTTTCTGAACTGATATTTAAGTGATTTATAATGTGAAATCTATTTCTAAATATGTCATTCTCATAATTGTTGCTAAAGCATATTTTTTTTCTTCATAATCAAACTTAGAAGATCACAATTAATTGAAAATATAACTATATCATCCATTGTCAATAAATATTCAATTAAATTAACTACTTCGGTCATATGAAAACTAGTGACAGTGGTCACTGTATAATAGACTTAAAGAAATTTTGTTCTATGTGCTCTAATAGAAAAAGAAAAGTTCTATTATTGTATGCTAATTCGATCATCCTACAACTAATATCATAATAGTTAAATTTTTAATAAGAGCAAGTTTTGCTTGAATGTATCCAAGTTCTATGAATATTTGTTGATAGAAATCTATGATTGTTATCCTTAGAAAGATACATTGAATTCGTATATTTCAGGCTTTTTCTAATATTGATTTCTGAAGTGTTTTTATTAATATTTGTCAATAGTCTGAAAATTTTTTTTGTTATTTGAAAGTAAAAAAGAAAAAGCACAAACATGAGTTTTTTTTTCACAGATTTTATTATAAAAATGATAGAAAAGTCTTGACTATAACGCATATTATTCATCTTAGTCTGATGATGTATTTTGTAGATCTTCAATTGATGATAGGAATTTCTATTTCATACTTGAAAATTTACTATAAACAACATACAATTTGATGCATCTTTATTATCTTTTTCCAACGGTGAAAATTGTACTTCTCTATCGTGATTTCTATCAATATTTATTCGTATTTTTTTTTAAAATCAATATTAATACAACTAGTATATGTGATAATAAAACACATTTTATCAAAATTTTATGATTATGACATTAACTACATTTAATTATGCAAACAGTATTTTAGTTATATTCATCTATGACATGTTTTATCTTTGTTTACAAAATAATGGAGTATGAAAATATAAAAAGAAAAATGAACAAGAGTTTGTTGA